CCTCTAATAATTTCATTTACATTTTTTTTGAATTTCTTGCACTCTGTTCTAAAATTCATCTAACTCCAATTTTTTCAATCCCAAAATCCTAAGCCATTCTTCAATTTGTTTAAATCTCACAAGTACATATTTTAGACAAAAACAATTAAAAAATTAACCACAGATTGCTTTGTTTGATTTTTCAGGTGGTGTCCTTTATTACATGTACACACAAACAAATGCACAGTCGATTTTCAATTTGTTTTCTTGATCAGTCTTATGTCAACTTGATGACATTTGAGTTTAGTATGAATTTCTACCATCTAAATTTGAAATTCCTATGGTCATTATCTAGTTTCTTAAAACACTTTTGAAACTATAAGGAATGTATAGCTAAATTTGAATGTTCAATTTTTTTAAGAACTGTTTTAACTTTAATTATTCAACTTCGAAGTAATATTAATTTAATGGGTGGTGTTAAATGAAAATAAAGTTTGGCATTAACCTTGTGATTGGATTCTACAGGTCAATTTGACTTCCCTTGAGAGATTGTATGTTGATGCAATGGATAACCTGATAGAGATATGGCCCGGTGAACTTGAAGCTAAACTAAGACTAAGACGGATGATAGTTCACAAGTGTCATTGGTTGCTGAATATTCTTTTTCCATCCAATTTGATGAAGGCAATGCAAAGTCTTGAAATACTTGTAGTGCAGGATTGCCAATCTGTGGAAGTAGCATTCGGTATTGAAGGACTAATTGTTAGGGAAGACCATCAAGATATACTATTCCCTTCATTAATAGATGTGAGCCTTGGGCATCTACCAAAGTTGACACATGTTTGGAAAGACAATTTATCAGGAATTCAAGGCTTCGAGAACCTAACATCCCTAAACATAAAGGGTTGTGGCAGTTTGAGATATGTATTTTCGTCTTCTATATCCAAACTTCTTGTGAAACTGCAAGAAATAGAGGTAACTGAATGTCGTGTGATGGAAGTGATCATTGACGAAGAACCAAAAATAGATGATGAAGTCGCAACACATATTCTCATCTTCCCTCAACTAAATACTCTCAAACTCAGGGACCTGCCGAACCTTAGGAGTTTTTGCCTCCAAGCTTACATGTTTGAAAGATCATTGTTGAAGACCGTGGAAGTAATCAATTGTCCCAACATGAAGGCCCTCCCTTCAGCATTCAAGCACATGCAAGAGCCACAGACGAGCAATGTTCAATAGGCAAACTTTTTAACCTCAACTCAACACCATCTCTTGGATGGAAAGGTACATTTGTTATCTTACAATTATAGTATTCACCATTAACATTCCGTTTTTTCAAAGAAAATGTTTCCAATATTCATTAAAATAAGGATAAACCTTATACGTTTGAAGTTGAAAGAATTGTTGGGTAAGCAAAATCATGGAAACTTTTTGGTCTCGTTTGGAAAGTTGGTTATTTTAGTATAAACTATTTTAGTAGGCTAAAATAGTTATGTTTGGAAAGAGAATTTTTTTATAGTTGAATGTAATGTTTGTAAGAGAAAAAAGACAATTATTATAGGTTTGATGTAATATTTTGTCTTATTGACTATTTTTAATCTATTTTGTCTTTTAGTGCTATTCTAGTCAAAAAAAAAAAAAAAAAAAAACCTCTAACCCAACTGCCAAACACCCCTTCATCATGGATGTGGTCAAAGATCTTATGAAGGAATATAATTTTTATACAATTTTTTTTACTATAATGATGACGGTGGCATTTCTGCTATTAAAGGTCTTTTAATGGACATGGTTTAAAATAATTAGTCTCAATGTAAGTTATAACTACGGCATTCTGTATTTAATGTTATTATATATAACATTGCTAAATGTTATATTTGTGTATTAATATTTTTTTGTCAATTATGTCCCAATTCCCAATAAACGGGGTTAAAATTGATTGTACTGAGTTGAGTTTAATTACAGCAAAGTTAATTGGGCAATATTCATACCCAAATATACAATAGAGTAAATTCTCTAAATAAGCAAGCTCTCCCTTCCACTATGTGTATGTTTGTACGACGTGTATGTAATATGAACATTATGTAAGAATGACCAAGAAAAAAAAAATATTGAAGAAACAATAATATCAGAAATATTTCAAAAGAATAACTAGTATACCAACAAATATACTAGTTGGACTCAATGTTAAGTGGGTCGGTCCCATATGCATATTTTGGGTGGGTTAGTATGTTTGTTAGTATATCATATATGGGTCTTGCTAAAAAATATTGCTAGGGCACAAGAAAAAGACAAAAAAAAAATTGAAAAATATAAGACATCTTTTATTAAATTCAATGCACTTTTACTGAAATTAAAATACTCTTTAATATTTTTACATATTTTCAAAGCACTTTTTATACACTTCCCAATATTAAATAATATTTAAAAGACACTGATCATATTATATATGATTATATGTAATATAAGTAAAGCCGTGCCTTTTAGTTTAGAAGCCTTAAAAAATTGCCACATGACTTCCTAAACAAGTTAATATGGTGCCGAGTGTCGTTTGGAAAATTAATGAACAATGCTGTCTGTTTTTTCCACTTCCTCTTCCATTTGTATGTTAAAACACCTTGCTTTTATTGCTTTTTATCTTCTCTTATTCCCGTTACATCTTACAAGTAGAATATTTGTATTCATGTTTCTGTTTCTAAAAAAACCACTAATTCATTCTCCATATATTATCCTACTGTAATGTTTTGTCTAAATTTTTTTCCCCACTGGTACCATTTCCGTATTATTTGCCTTGAACTATTTTCTTTGACCAACGTTTCACAAGGTCTAACTTTTTTCTTTGTCTGGGTTTTTATTAAATTTGGCATATAATCTATAAATTTCTGAACTAAAAATTGGTGACTTATGTGATGAATTGATAGTCGCCAATTGGATTTCCAAAACACCCACACACAAACAAAAAAAAAAAAAAAAAAAAAAAAAACAAAAAAAAAAAAAAAAATGGGGGACTCATTGATTGAGGGGGAGCCTCCACATTTACTCAACAAATACCACTTGATTCCTGGTGGTTTGACTTTTTTCTGTGATGTTTAGTTACTTTTGTTGGAGGTCCAGCCATCCGATCACTAGGATGATTAACTCTAGCTCTGTGGCCTCTCAAGGATTGCACACACACACACACACATTCATTTTGTAAGCTCTCATGATTGTATTTGAGTTGTGCATTCTCAGGTAGCTCATGCTCATTAATCAATATTCATCTGATTTGCTCATGATATTATGCTTCATACTATCAATATTACAAGTTTGGAGGCTTCATGGTTTGTGGATTATCACATCTTAGTGTCACATTTTGGCTATTGTGCTTACCTCTAATTGTTTCAGGTCCCACTTGGCAGTGTGAACTGGTTTTAACTGCTCAGAAGGGTGTTTTTTGGTCTTTGGTGTTTTTTTCTTATCCGCTAGAGCAGACCTTATAGCACTTGAGTGCTTTTTCAATTCATCTAGCACTTTTGCAAAGTGCGCGAGATTTTGAGAGCAGGTTTTTACGCTCAAGCATACTTTTCTTCACTCGAGCAGAGAGGCGCGCATAAATGAGTCCGCTTGAGCGTTGAGTCTCATGCTCGAGCGGTATGCCCTAGTATATATTCTGCAACCCGTTCCTTCAGTCTCATTTTTTTCTCTCTTTTTGCGATTGTCTCTCTCTCTCTCCCTCCCCTAGGGCTTCGATTGTGACTTGCTTGGGCTTTTTTCTGGTCATCCTTCTTCTTTTTCCTCCTCTGATTTATCTCTGGTAAGTTTTTCCCTTCAATTTTTTTTTCTTTATTTTGTTTACTTTCTCTCTATTGATATGTTTTTGGGGTTTGTTCACTACTAGTTTTTTTTTTTTTGTTTCTTTTCTGTCGTGTGCGACTTGGTCACGTTGGTTTTGTGTCTCATTCACTTGATTCACACACTTTTATAGAGGTTCTCATCCTTGTTGGTGATTCACACACTTATTCACTTGGTTCGATTCTTTCTCTGTTGTGGTATTAATTTTTTGTTTTTAACTATGTACATCTCTCGACTACTGTCTTGGCCTACATTTGTTGGTCTCATGTTTTGGGTATTGATTTATTTCATTGAATTTTTGTCTAACTTGGTTTTTGGTTACTAATGTTTTTCTTCTTAACTGTTTTGGATTTGGTTTTTAGGGGTGTTCAATCTGGTTCCCTCCTTGATGGACCCCATCGTTGTGTTTTTAACATCTAGCATCCTGCCAGAAAACAAAAAGGAGGCCAACAAGATTCGTGCTAAGTCGCAATGGTTTTGGTTCTTCCCATCTCTAGCACTATACAAAAAGTCCTTCTTAGGATCGTAGTTAAAGTGTGTCCATCCTAGCAAGGTCAAGGCCTTCTTGTTGAAAATCTATGAGGGCGTTTGTGGAAGCCACCAAAGGGGAAGATCCCTGGCCTACCAAGCTATCTCACAAGGGTATTGGTGGCCATACATGCAAGCAGACGTGGAGAAGTACGTTAAGAAATGTGAACCTTGGGTTAGCTATGTCCACTGCCAAACGTAGGAAGTCCACAGTCACTCGCCCCTCGTATAACACCGACAGATTTCCATCCATCGATAAAGCCAAGTCTTTTAGAGAGTCTTTCTCCTCTAGGACAGTTCATCTAGAGCGCCATGTCCAGCCAAACACTTTTGAGTCCATTCCTATTCGACCATTGTTTGATCCATTAGGAGGTGACTTAGTTCTGTCCTTCTCCGGCCGCCAAAACCTTAACTGGGTCCGCGAGTTTTACTATAACATTGAGGGTATTGATGATATTGGCCCTTCCTTCCAGACCTGGGTTCGGTCTAAGTCTATCGTTGTTACCCCTGATCTTATTAGAGAGCTCTTAGGCATTGACCATGTTTTTCCGGAGCACTATTATTTCCCTGTCTGAGCCACGTGTGATTTCAACGAGGTGGCCACTGCCTTGTGTGGTACACCCCGTAATTGGGTCAAGGGCGCTCTGATTAAACAGTTTGAACTCCTTCCCTAGTTTCGTCTGCTCAATCTTATATGTGCAAATATCATAGTCACCACTCATTGTTCTGAAATCAATCAAGAACAAGGTTTTGTTCTCTTCTGCATAGCTCACCATCTCTCCATCAATCTTGCCACCCTTATTCTTTGCAAAATGATTGCCCTTTTTGGGAACAAACAGTTAAGGTTGCCCTATGGTTGTCTGATCAACCGTCTTCTGTCTAGACTTGAGATTCCAGTTTATGAGGAGAATGAGTATGCCACTCCTATTAAACCCTTTACTAAGAAAACCGTGTCTCAAAATCGTGCACATGTTAAGGGGGAGTCTTCTAGGACATGTTTTTCTTCTATAGGTGATGCTGATCTTATGGTAGAGGAGGCTAAGATTGATGCTGCCACAGTAGGCACAAAGGAGCCAGATGTACCTCCCCGAACTACGTGTGACCAGGTTCATCGCTTTGAGTAGTCCTTGACTCAGCGGTTGGTTCACATGGATGCCCGTCTGGATGCTTTCGATGGTTGGCTTGGCCATCTTGAGCAGTCAGTTGTCCAGACCACTCTACAACTGGATCAGATTCTGGCATTGCTTCAGTTGCAGCAGCCACATCCACCGCCGCCCGATCATTGAGTTTTTTTTTGAATTTATTTTTAGACCGTTTTTTGCTTATCTCTTTTGTCTTTTTGTCTCCCAAACAAAAAAGGGAAGTAGTTGAGCCTTTTGGTGGTTGTTGATTTTGGATATTTTTGCATGTGGTTGTTATTTTTGGATATTTTTGCATGTAGTTGTTATTTTTGGATATTTTTGCCTACTGGTTTGTACGTGTTGGACACAGACACATATATCTTTGGATTATGGATTATGAGATATCATGGATCTTGGAAATGCAATGGTTGTGGGTTTTTATTTTACATTCATGCATTATTTCTATTTGTATCTTATCTTGTTCCACAATTTTAGTTTTTTTTTTTTTTTTTTGTGCATTTCCACAGGATAGGTTGTGTTAATGCATGTGTCTAGTGTATGTGTGTTTTTAGGAAAAATTGTTAGAAAAGTTTTGTCTGGGAATTGACAAAAGGGGAGATTGTTAGGTCCCTAGTTGCCAATTTTGTGAACAAACTCAATTTAATGGAGTTATAATTTTTTCCTTGGTTTTGGTTTTCCCGCTCGAGCGGAGTTTGCACCTTCTCAGTAGTTTGGCTTATCTGCACAAATACTGGGAGGCGTGTTTTTGCACTCGAGCGCGAGTTCCAGCGCTCGAGCGGAGACCTGTTTTAATCGCACTCGTTTTAGTGAATCCGCTCGAGCAGCAAAGCCTGCGCTTGAGCGGGGTACGCGGACCCTGTTTTCTATATATGTATGTTTAGGTCCGTTTTTAGGTTTAACTGATGTATTTACCATTTGTCCTTTTCAGCCCCCATTTCAGATACCGGCTGCAAGGGGTGCTCCAGCAGGACCATCCGTGTCTGCCCGAGGAGGAGGGAGAG